ACGAAAAATTGCTAAGCAAATGGGAATTGAAAAGTAAAATGAAAGTTATATATGACCCGAATCTGTGCATGCAAGTCGTAAAACATCCCTTTTTTATGAAGGTTTATTTACGGTGTATCACATTGATCGGAAGTTGTACCTTCAGTTTGCAAATTAGAAACAAATTCAAAGTGAAACTGAAATTTTCGCCTCTGTACAATTCTTTTTCTGAGATTGTAGTTGTTTGTAGTTCATATTTGATACTTTTCAATTTAATAATGCATACCAAAATATGTTATTTCGAGACAGTTCGATGTTCACAAATAAATTATTTGCAAACTTTCTAATTAATTTTATAATTTATCAAAGGCCTAAACATTTTCAGATGATATGTTATAAATTTATAAATATTTTTTTTAATTTTTTAAACCGCTCCCTTACAAAAGTCCGCTTTTAAATGTCTGAAGTCCGAATTCCGCGGTTCGCTGAACGCTATTCCGCAAATGTCCATTACGGGTTGGTACGAGAGTAAATTCATCAAAGTAGAGCTTTTTAAAAAAGCTTACCGTCTTTAGCAAAAACCTTAAACAGTAAACTGATCTACATCTTTCAGGTCGTATAAATCTTTTGATTTTCTTGATTTCGTATTTCTACATTAGCTTCTTACTGGTATTAGCCCTACCGCGGTTGTCGCTCGGTCATCTCCGTAAACTGATCGAGACCTTCGGCAAACCCCGGCCGATTCTGTAAAAATGTTACCTTCTTCAAACAAATAAAGGGAAAAGATTAATACAAATTGTAAAGCCAGTAAGCAATAAAAGTCAAATCTTATTTGCAACTTGATGAAAATAAAGATACCTTTTTAGTTATTGCTATTAAAAATATTGTTATTAAGAATTAATTACTGCTGATTTTGTTGTTCGTTTTGTCATTTTTTTAAAGATTGGAAATATTGAAAAAATGTTAAGTCGTACGAAAATTAAACCATCAGAAAGTTATCTCCCTTGCATTGAACAGCATTTCCACCAATGAAATAATTGATAATTTTCTCATCATGCAATTTCTACCAATCGCAAAAGAGAGGAAGTGCATAGTCCGAAGACTGTAAAAAACTTCAACTTTATAATACCGTCTTTCAAGGAAGACGGTAATAATTCGGGCTTTATGGAATTTAATCTCGTGACCAACCTGTAATTATATCCCGATAGATGTTTAAAAATGATACCATATTTCTTAAATAACCCAGACCCTACTATTCTCGCATAGTGTTCTAAGGATTTATAGCGTACGCATACTATGCAGTAATTGTGCACGGCTTCCATTTCTGAAGAAAATCCGACAACGCCCATACCGGGGAGCGAACTCACGATCCCGAGATTATCAGTCCGACGCACTATCGATTACGCCACAAACGCCGTTATCTTTGATATTGTACTATAATATATTTAAACTTAGTTTCAAATATTTTACACTTAAGATTAAAAATAAACAAAATAATCCTTCTGAAATAGTTTCTTGCAACCCCCTTCTTACTCAAATACTATTCTTAAAAACTATCTGTAGATTATACGTAGGCTTAGTGCATGCAAGGCACAACACGATTGTTATTTTTATGCTGACTGTTGTTTCTGTATAAAAACGGCAATATTTTCTGCATTCCCAATGTTTAATCACCTGTTACAATCGTCCACTCTATTATAACGTCACCTGTACGTCATAATCTTTTTCTTTAATTTTGAACGTTCCATGCTTTAGGTATAATCTGCTGATAGTTTTCGGACTGAGGTGGCAGAGGATAGTTTTTTTTGCAATCAAAACGTTTGACTGACGGTTTACTTAATATTGAGCTGCTTTAAAATTGTGCATTGAAAAATTTTAAATTCCCTCTACATGTAATAATAGTATGAAGTAGTCCCTTGAGAAATTTGAAGCTTTTAGGAATAAAACATGTACAACTTACAGAATGAGCCCTAAAGATGGCGCAGGGACAATCTCAAAATTTCAAGTGAATCAAGCCTATTTTCACTATTTCGCCGCAGCCGCATCTGCTTCCAGGCCCGTGCGCCTGACCTAAGCTACCACACAAATTGCAGAATAACATTTGTACATACCAATGAACAGCAAGAGATAATGGCTCAACCACCTCGTTTTCAAGCTACAATTCATCCTGTGAACCCACCCCGCTTTTCTGGTGAAATACCGGTAGAGCGAGTTTTGAGCTTAGTTTCGTATTTCTAGTCCATATCCCATATACAGTAGTGGTGACACTAAAGTGTCATATTTCAATAAAATATACAAGGCCACCAAGTCCCTCCAAATGCACCCATAAAATATTCTAGCTATAAAATTACCTATAATATGCATTCAAACCTCAGGTTTCTCTGTTTTTTCTATTTTTTGACCGGTACTTTATTCGAAACTATCCTCTGCCACCTGACAATCTCGGGTTTGTGAGTGCGCTCCCCGATAAGGGCGTGGTCGGATTTTCATCAGAAATGAAAGCCGCGCACTATTTCGGCATAGTATGCTTACGCTATATAAACCCTTAGAACACTATGCGAGAATAGTAGGGTATGGGCTACTGTATATAGAGACAAACACACAGGAAGCATAATAATTATTTATATATATTCTTAGTATTTCTTTTATTATTTTCAAAATTATACTTGTTTGCATAGACTTGAATGCAAACTTGAAGGGACATTTACTGTTTCAGTAATTTAAAAAAAAAATTCTCCAGGAAAATCCTGGAAGTCCTACATGTAATAAGATAGAATATCTTACAAATTATTACATTTTTCACAGTACTTAATAGTATTTTTCAAGGAGCACTGGCTTTAACAGTTGATGGATTACTTTGGTTAGAGCGCCTGCTCTTGAGTCGCAAAAATAAGGATTTGGTTCTTACACCGCGGGTTCGAATCCCGATATGGGACGTGGAGACAGGTCCTTCGGATGAGACCGTATTAACTGAGGTACTACTGTCGCAGTAGGTGTTGGCACGAAAGAGAACCCTACCTGCTCAATGGCCTTGAATGCCGAGCATAGGTCACAATTTTCAGCTCATCATCAGCAAGTGGTGACGTCTCCATCTAAGTGAAAAATATGTTTCGAGACGACGTTAAACAGTTTACAATCAAAATCGTTAAAAATGGTTTTGGTTTAGAAAAATTTTCGTGATTTCAGTTTATTTCATTATTAAGAAAATTGTGATTTTAGTTTATTTTATTATTAACTGATAATTAACTGCGACCTCACGGCTGTAATTTGTCGGTGCAAGCCGCCGGTACATTTTTGTGTTCACAAGAGAGATAACTTAAATAAGCAACATTGACGGAGTTATCCTTCTTTGTTTTAACTTTGGAGGAAAACCGAAATAGAAATTGTTACAACCGAAATTACGTCCCCAGGAACCAGGAAATTTTTGGCTACCCACGGACATTGGCCCCCACGAATAAAAATGATTCAATAGTATATTTTGATCTCGACTTTGGACAAACCTGCACTCGATGTTTACGAAAGCTGTGAATTGGGTACCTGTCACAAATTTCTTTGATATTCATTAACAAGAGGCCCATCGCTCACCTGAGCACTGTAGCTAGGAAAAAGTAGAAATTGGTTTATTTTTGAAAAGTTTAAATCCAAAAGTAATCCCAGAACAAATCTTGGCTTTGAAATTTCTTGAGAAAAAGAATTTTTAATTATATTCCTATATATTTCTATGTAAAACTTTGGTCGGCCATTGTGGCCCCGCCCTTCCCCAGGGGATCATGATTTGAACAAACTTGAATCTATAATACCTGAGGACGTTTCCCCATAAGTTTCATCTTTCCTGACACAGTGATTCTTGAAAAGAAGAAGATTAAAAGATACCACCAAATTTTCATTAATTCCTAATTATCTCCCCTTAAATAAGGGCCTGGCCCTTCATTTGAACAAACTTGACTCCCCTTCACCCAATAATTCTTGGTGGCAAGTTTGGTTGAAATTGGCCCAGCGGTTCTTGAGAAGAAGTCGAAAATGTGAAAAGTTTATAACAACGACAACAACGACAACGACAGACATCGGACAAATTGTGATCAGAAAAGCTCGCAAAAGCTGGCAATAATGTTTTTTTTTTTTTTTTACCGACAAACAGGGTTGATATCTTCCATATTACTATATACGCAGGGGCAAGTTTTACATATGAACTTTATCCAAAGAAGAAGGTTTGGTTTCCATATAAATTTTGCCCTGTGATTTTCTAAAAAATGAATCTGGAAACTGGTGTAAAAATTGAAAACTCATGCTTTTTAAATAATTGAAATTCAATGAAGAAAAATAATATAAGTCATTTTTCTCACATGTGATTTTAAATGCTAATTATGACGACATAAACATGTGCATTTTCCCGTTTTTTCTTAAGAAGTTGCAGAAGACACCAATTTTCAATGGAATTTTCTTTCAGATAACATTGTCCACAGGCATCGCCCAAAAAAATCTAGAGATATGTGACTTGTTATTGAATTTTGCACAAAATATAAAAAAAATAACGTAGGCGACATCTGTGGACACTGTTTTCTAAAGGAAAATCACCCTTGAAATTTGCCATTTTGAGTCTTTTGAAAATAGAGAAATGCTTCACGTTAATGACGTCATATTTGCAGAATGGTAAGCATTCATGCCATATTCTTTCCTGATTTATTTATTTCACTAATATTTAAGCCAGTGCTTAAACTTTTTGATGCCATTACATTTTTAGGGCGCAATAAAGCTAAAACCATGCCTTCTTCTTAATGAAAAACAAGTTAATGAAACAAGATATCATCTCATTTAGATTAGATTTTTTGCACGTTCTTCCTTTGGATACAAATCATTTTGTCCTTGACCATGGAGTTTGAATTGCATTTGAGAAACAAGGGCATCAGTGTTTCACAAAAAGATCTAGTTAATAATGATCTTTTAAATTAGAAGCAGTAAAGGTACATGTACGCTGCACATGACATTTAATTAAATTTCATGTTAACTGTATATTTGTGAAGGTTCAAGATGTTCACAGACAATACAAGAGGGTCATCTAATCAATTGTCGGGCACATATTGGAGATACATGTCAGTATGAATGCACTAGTCCTTTCCAAATAAACCCCTCTTCTCCAACTATTACCTGCAATACAAATCGTGAATGGAGTCATGATACTACAGATTTATGCGGTGAGTTTACATTTTTGAAAATGTTTATTAAATTCGGCGATAGAAAAGAAAATTGAACATGTTTCTTTCTAAAAAAAAAATCATTGTTTGCAGTACAACTGTGTGTATCAACAATCCCTAATGGAACACTAGGGTCAGATTGCCAAAGAGTAATAGGAAGTAACTGTTCATTCACGTGCGACATGGGTTACGAATCTTCCATCACCTCTTCACACATTATTTGTACCTCAAACGGCACCTGGAACAAAATGACTGATGATTTATGCAAACGTAAGAGAGAGTGTTTATAACCTTAAACATGTATAAAGTATGTGCTCTTTAGCAATTACATTTCGTGAGCTAAATTTGGCATAAAAGAGTCCGTACAATATATGTGAGCAGATTACATGGGCGTATTAACAAGCAATGTATACTTACACAGCTAATTGTACCACGTACGTCTATAACGTATGGTTTCACATAACATATGTTACACGTACATGAATCGTATGTAACACATACTGTATTCCAAACACATGTTTCACATATGTGGCACAACGTACATATAACATGCGTGTGACGACATACGTACGTTTTGGAATACATGTATATGTTACGTACGTTTCACGTCCGTATAACATGTTATGGGCAACCATGCGTTACACGCACGTTAATTAACTTATGGTTACTTAATATTTTTCCATATAAAATTTTCCAATTCTGACTTTAATTATCATGTTCACCAAACCCAGTGTTGGTAAACAAACATGCACCATTGTCGTAAATACTCACCTGATGTATCTCACGGACTCTGCAAACAAAATAAAACTGTTCTGCATTTTTGTCTACTTCCATCATACCAATTAACATCGATCTGCAGGGTCATGGTCTTTTATTCAAAACAACATTAAGCGCAGATACCCATGTACCGGCACCCACGTGGTGCCGTGCATGCAGTGCACAAGGAGTAGTTTCGCCAAAATTGTGTTCATGGTCGGTTTTAATATCACTTCCATCGTAATTCTGATGAAGTTGCTTCAATTTTGAGAACCGTAAATTTAATATGTATGGAAACTTTGTCTTTTAAACGAAGAGACAATATTATGTAAATAACAACTATTATTTGGCGGCGTTGCGGAATCCGGAAAAACAGCACGTGCTAAAATGCGAATTCTATCTATCAGTCTTTACCTTAATGCATCTATGAAGATGATTATTGAGTTGGAGTTTCATTTACCAATCTTGTGATATTTGTTATAGGAAGGACTCCTTGTGAAGTATAATAATTATGTTTGATTATTCCAACAACTGTTTTGAAGTATTTATTGTTTATTTAAACAATAAAATGCTTTCTTTGTTTGTTATTACTGGAAATAACGGAAGCAGCTTTGCAGAAAAAATACATAACCTGCGTTAGCGGGTTATGTAATTTTTTCTGCAATAGCTGCGACCGTTAATTTCAGTTATAACAAACAAAGAAAGAAATGTTATTGTTTATATTAATATCTGTTTATATAATCATTTAAAGTAGGATCAAAATGATTAATTATTGTATTAATGATGCGATCGTCTTTATACGTTTCATTGATGGAACAGCCACTGAACATGAAATCTGTACAGGCAACATACCTAATGTAGCTCATGCAGTGATTAACGCAATGCCTTTTCTTAAGGAATATAGGAGAAAATTTTCAGTGGATGTAAATATACATATGTATAATCCATGTATTTATACACGTCATGTATCAATGTATTAATCAATAAGCGAGAAATTTCGGAATATTTCATTGCAGAATTTAGATCAAAATTAAGAAATAAATATACATGTCAAGCAGGTAGTATCAGAGGGAGAGGTGGCCCTTCTTTTCAGAGATAAATGTTGAGTTTTTCTACACAAACCCAACCCTCATATTAATGTTAATGTTTAATTTTTCAAATCAAAATGAGTAATAGTTTGACTCCAACCCCTACATAAACGATTTTTTTTTCACGTTTTGGAGGGTTTCCTATTTTTCTATTGCTTTATCAAACTTTCGTTCGAGTACCTATTCATGTTTATTTTTTCTCAGCTCCCCCTTTACAAAAGAACGAGTTAGTATTTCTGTGTGTATTTGCCTTAATTTATTCGATCGCTTGTACTTTTAAAATTATCATATAAAAGAAAATTAATAGAGTGGTTAAAATATTTTGACATTTTATTCAACAATGATAGATTTAAAAAAAATAATAACGTGATTAGCGAGGTATTTTCAAAACTCCGACCAAAATACCTTAAGAACAAAAAGAAGACACCTCTTCCATCCCAAGTTACGAAGAACACGAATAATGCAAAACTAAATTCTTAGTTTTACCCATCGTATGTTGTTTATTATTTCTTATCTCAGGCTACAACTCGATGACCATGTCTTCCTTTATATAGTGCCTAATTTAAATGTTCCGCCCATTTGTAACTAAGAGAGAAACAGCACTCTGTTTGAAAGAAAACGTTCCGAAATTTGTATGTGCAGTAGTTGATGAAAATTGGCTTGTATTACGTAATACTCAAAGTCATTAATAATGATTGTACAAATTTCAATTAGAAGTCCTTAAGGAATCACTGTCTAGTCAGGAGAGTATGCCAGGGCATCAATAATAGTGGGAAACATGGGATAATTTGCATAACGGGCGAAGCCCGTTATGCTAAAATTATCCCATGTTTCCCACTATTGTTGATGTCCCTGGCATACTCTCCTAACTAGACAGCGATTCCTTATATTTCCATTTCATTGTGGAACAAATTTGTAGATTTAGACTTTAAAAATGAAGACCAATAGATTTAAATTACACGAGGACTTCCATGCCAATTTCAATAGTCCTCGCACACTGACGTCAAACACAAAGGCAGCCACACAAGATTTACATGCATATTTGGCCTCCTAAGCGTCAGACACCGAGACAGATGCACACGAGATTTGCATGCGTATAAGGCCTCCTTAGCTGCTGACCTATCGACCTGCCTAATTTACATGCCGGCAGAATTATCAAGAATAAACTTCCCCCAACTTTCAAAGAGTTATCACAGAGAAAAAAATAAGAAATGGAAATATTATGATATAAACCATGAAAAGAAAAATAATACTATATCCTCAAGTAAAGTCTGTAAAATAAGGGTGAAGAAAGGGGCCAAGCTACAATACTTTAGTGGAAAACTCCATTTTACTTTAGCCATAACTTTTGAACAGATGGTGCTATTACTTTCATACTTCACGAAAGTATTTTTGAGACAAGGTCTACTGTTGATTACCAACAACTTTGACTTTTGGACCTTGCAGATTTTTCTACCTTTTAAAAACTTTAACCATAGCCATAACTTTGTATGGTAAGAGCTGGGGCTTTAATTCATACTTGACATCTGTAATTCTTGTGACAAGATCTTTCCTTGGATACCAGCAACTTTGACCTTGACCTTGGAGTTTCACCTACATTTTTAAAACTTTAACCTTTGCAATTACTTTTGAAAGTTTGGTGCTAGGACTTTCATACTTCACATATTTATTTTATGTGATAAGACCTTTTAGTTGATGCCAACATCCTTGACCTTTGTCTTAAAATTGACCTACGTTGTAAAAAATTTAACCTTGGTCATAACTTTTGAATGGTATTAAGGATTAGGACTATCGTACTTCACAGGTGTAATCCTTCTGACAAGAAATTTTATTGGATACCAAAAAAAATAGACCATTTGACCTTGGACATTGAGGTACTTTTAAAAACTTTTTGCTTGGCAATAATTTTTGAACGTTTAGGGCTAGCCGTTATTTACACCCCATATGTATATGCGACCAGGCCTTTCTTGCAACATCTCGCGAAATTTTATCAAAATATTATACACTGTAAAAATCTTTCATTTGGCAGTTTTGTTTGTTGTTTTATTTTGTGATATATTGACAAATGGAAAATATCTTATGGTATAGATGCTATGTACCTTATGGTATAGATGATATCTACCTTGTTTCTGAAAGCAACAGAAATAAATAAAATATTATGAGGAAAGCTAGTTTATGTATTTTTTATATAATGTGACAAAATTACCATTTCTTAAACGAAGTTTTATATAAAGCATGATCTTACATTAAACTATAGCTATCAATTAACAGAACTATATAAATCAATCCCTGTTTAAAAGTAATACTATCTTTGGATTGATGACTTTATTTTTTTTTCATTTGTCAACTTCGCTGAATTACGCAGCAAAATATTCTTATCACCGATATACAGGGTTAACAACTCGTAATTAATTCGATACGCAAGAGCTAGCTCTACCTCTACGTATATGTATAAACAATTTCCAAAACGAGGTATCTAATTGACAAACAAGCTGTTTAATCAAGAAGTCTCATTTAGATTCGTCTTCTTGCACGTTCTTTGGTCGATAAAATGACATTGTCAGCAAATACAATCCATCATTAATTTTAGTGCTGATTGACAGTTCTATTAGTAGTTGTTAGACTCATATATTACGCTGCACATAATCTAATTTCATATTAACTGTATATTTGTGAAGGTTCCAGATGTTCACAGACGATACAAGAGGGTCAACTCATCAATTGTCGGGCACATATTGGAGATACATGTCAGTATGAATGCACCAGTCCTTTCGAAATAAATCCCTTTTCTCCAACTATTACCTGCAATACAAATCGTGAATGGAGTCATGATACTACAGATTTATGCAGTGAGTTTACATTTCTTAAAATGTTCATTAAATACGGCGATAGAAAAGGAAATCAAACACGTTTCTTTCTAAAAAAAAATCATTGTTTGCAGTACAACTGTGCGTATCAACAATTCCTAATGGAACGCTAGGGTCAGATTGCCAAAGAGTAATAGGAAGTAACTGTTCATTCACGTGCGACACGGGTTACGAATCTTCCATCACCTCTTCACACATAACTTGTACCTCAAACGGCACCTGGAACAAAATGACCGATGATTTATGCAAACGTAAGAAAGAGTGTTTATAACCTTAAACATGCACAAATTATGTGTTCTTTAGCAATAACATTTCGTGAGCTAAACTTGGCATAAAAGAGTCCGTACAATGTATGTGAGCAGATTACATGGGCGTATTAACAAGCAATGTATACTTAAACAGCTAATTGAACCACGTACGTTTAACGTTCAGTTGCACATAACATATGTTACACGTACGTGAATCGTATGCAACACATACGTGTCTTCCAAACACATGTATCACATATGTGGCACAACGTACATTTAACATGCGTGTGACGACATACGTTTCACACAACGTATGTGAAACTACGTTTGGAATACACGTATGTGTTACGTATATTTCACGTCCGTGTAACATATGTTATTTGCAACCATACGTTACACGTACGTTAATAAACTTTTGGTTAACGTGTGTGTTGTCAACCACATGTTACACGTACCTTAATGAACGCATGGTTTACATGTGTATAGTCAAACACATGTAACACATACGTTAATGAACGTACAGTTCATATGTTTTATAAAGCATAAATTTCACGTATAGTTTACATCATTCTATCATAAACCACACATTACATATACACTAATAAATTATGGTCAACTTGTCTTATAAAGCTCAAATTACACATATACATTGATGAATAGTATGTGTATTATCAGCCACATGCTACATATACATTAAAAAGGTTTTTTACATGTGTGTGAAAAGCTATAATGTTTGGAAAGGGTCCTTAAATCTTCTATAGTAGCGGAAAAAAGAAACAGTGCATTATAAGATTTAGTAAAACAATTATATATTTATCGTTTATATTAATACAATATAAACAACCGATAAAGGTGATGTTTTTTTAACAATATCGGATGGTACCCGACTCAGTTGCACGGACTTTTCATGGTTAGTGAGCACGTTTTGTTTATTGACGTGTTCGTACGCATGGGTTTTACTGGCTAAAATTGTTTTGAGAAAAAACTGACTGTATAACGTTTATTTAGACTCTATTCGTTAAGGAAAGCACTTCAGTTCTGACCAAATTTACTATTCTGTCATGCTACGACTCAGCGAAAACCAACGTAATATTGCTGTTGGAATGCTTCAAGCAGGAATGGCACAAAATATCGTAGCAGGACACTTTGGAGTTCATCGAAACACCATCTAGTCATTATGGAGACGTTTTCATCAATCTAGTAATACTCGGGATAGACCACGTTCAGGGCGTCCTCGCGTGACGTCGTGATGACAGGACAATTACATTAGACTCGTACACCTGAGAAATCGTTTCCAGACTGCAAGTTTGACTGCTCGAAGCATTCCCGGACTTCGACCAATCAGTCCAAGAACTGTGCGAAATCGTCTGCGCGAGCGCAACATCAGACCAAGACGTCCAGCTATGCGCCCAATACTGCTTCAACGTCATCGTACCGCTAGGCTAGCGTGGTGCAGACGACATCTACGATTCAGAATACAAGATTGGGCCAATATTCTGTAAACTGATGAATCCAGATTTCATTTGTATAGCAGTGACGGCCGTTGTAGAGTGTAAAAATTATTCTAGAATTCTGACGTCTGCAATTCAAGTGCCTAGCTAACGACAAGGAATGCTTGAAAGCAACAATTATTTTATTACTTTATGACTGTGGGTTGCACTAAGGGGTGTGTTTTTTCCCAGTATATTCCATAATGAACACTTGGGTTACAAAATAGGAAATTATTGACCATGTTAACGCAGTGAGACAGAGCTATCTTGGTCAGCACCCAGGTGTACCCATCAACACGGGCACGTTATATCAAAATACAGGTGAAGCTTAAAAATACTGTAATAACAATTAAGTATTTATTGAAAAAAAATTTGAACCTAAAAAATAAAATGTAGAAAAAAAAACAATTTGATGGTAAGTTCCACTTACCGCATGTATTTCTTTTTACAGTAAACATGGTAAACAGTTGTAAAGGAATTATTATCTTTCAGGGCAATATTAAACGGTTTATGTTTTATCTTTAGATGTCTGCCTTTTTTCATCCTCATGAATATAAATCTTGAGTTCTTTGTTTCAGATTGTGAATTTCCACGTGATTTTAAAAATGCACACCAGGATGGTGGCTGAAGTCCATCTTTGTAAACACCTTAATCAGCAAATGCCAAGAATGGACTTCAAAACAGTTTTGAAAGTTTAACCAGCATAATCATGATTTTGGTAATACATAAAGAAATATTAAAGATTTTCTGATCACATAGCTTTTAGACTTGCAAATATTAACTTGAAACTCTTCAGGAAAAATTTGGAATGCAATTTGTTTATCATATATTTTTTGAGGTCACCTGAGTAAACTCAGGTGACCTATTGCTATCCGTTTTCGTCCGTCGTCGTGCGTTGTTCGTCGTTCGTCGTGCGTCGTGTGTTAACATTTGAACATTTTCAGCTTCTTCTCTGCAACCACTGCACCAATTTCAACCAAATTTTGCACAAAGCATCTATGGGTGAAGGGGAACAAAAATTGTGAATTTCATAATCCCTGCCCCCCCCCCTGGGGCCTGAGGGGTGGAGCCAAAACCACTAAAATTAATGCAATCTTTAAAAATCTTCTTCTTTACTCCTGGACAACAAGCAGTCAAACTGTTTGCATGATTGTAATCAGCAATGAGTCCTCTACCAAAATTGTGAAATTCATGGCCCTGGGGTCAGGGGTTCTAGTGCAAGGGAGGGGCTAAATAAGTATGTAGTGAAAATGCATTATTTCTTTGAAAATCTTGTTCTCTACTCCTGGGTATTAAATAAACCAACTAAGTACATAGTTATGATGAGCAAGAGTGCCTCTACCAAAATTGTGAATTTTATGGCCCCAGGGTCAGGGGTTCTGGTGTTAGGGCGGGGCTCTATTGATTATATATTGAAAATACATGAATTCTTTGAAAATCTTCTTTTCTGCTCCTGGGTATTAAATAAACAAACTAAGTACATAGTTATGATAAGCAAGAGTGCCTTTACCAAAATTGTGAATTTTATGGCCCAAGGGTCAGGGGTTCTTGTTTTAGGGTGGGGCTCTAATGATTATATAGTGAAATGCATGAATTCTTTGAACATCTTATACTTTGCCCCTGGTTAATATGCTAATGATTTAATTATATATTTAAGGCCGAGATTTATTTTATTTTTAGTTTTACAAACCCTCCGCTCAAGGTTTTGAATTTTCAGAAAAAAATTAAAAAAAAAATTTTCCGATGTCAAATTTGAGTCGGGATCGAGATTTCAAATTTACGAACTGGCACTTCCGGTTTAACGAGGAAACGGCGGGTAAATAAAGCTTGATCTGAGAAGATAATGATTCAAGAATGCTTGGTTTAGTGTAAAATTCATCGATAAGAGTGCAATTCAAACGTTTCACCCGTTCAAAGGACAAATAAAATGCTGACGACTTTGTTGCACAATGACATGCTGGTGAGATAATTATGTATTCGTTTCAAAAGTAACTGTAAATTATTTTCCTCCCCCAGGCTTTTAACTGCCCATGGTAGCTATTGCATATTGCCAGGGAAATTGTTTAGGTCTCTGTTTTAGCTTACAGTCTAAGCATCATTCTTCAGAAAAGGGTTGCTTATGCATCAGATGTGATGAATAAAACTATGGGAGAAGTGAAGTCAATTTGAGGAAGAAATAAACAATAAGCTGAAGAAATAAAAAAAAAATTCAACTATTAAAAGGCAAGAATATACAAATATATACAGGCATGTAGTATCATTTGTATCAGCCAGAAAAATTATTTTACACTTAATTGAAAAAAATGTTCACCCTACTCCCCAATACTCCCTGTCTGTTTTATGATAGGAATTATAATTTTAGGCATCCAGTAAATTTTAGAACAATGTCTACACATTAACAATCGCTGGAAAGTTGTTACATAGTACTCAGATGACCTATAAGGCCCGTGGGCCTCTTGTTAACATTAAGGACAAAAAGGTACACACTTGGAAAGCACACAAAATCAGATGGATCCATGCAAAGCTATAAAAGATTAATGCAGAGAGGAAGTTCAATTTTTTTTCATTTCGAAACTCTTCTGGTTTCATCAAGATTGGACGTAAAATATAAGTAAAGTCAGCTTCAGTATAATTATATTTACTGAGTATTCTGAAAATAGCTAGTTTATCATCTCCCTCGACACCAAACTATTTTTCTCGGCTGCATCTTGGTAAGTAGTTGCTGTCAAGGGGGACCATAAACTAGCTATTGTCCTCATAGCCAGTAAATAGGTGTATACTTTTTTAGTCCATCGTCAAACACTGTGCGCTGTCTGGTAACATTAGAACATTTACAGCTCCCCCTCCCCTCCCCCAAATCTAAGGGAAGGTAACCCCATCAAAATTATGCAAAATTGTGTTTTTTTTAATTGGACATCAAGCAAAATGTAAGCAAGATTGTAATTAGCATTGAGTCCTACTAAAAATTAAACACATTAAGAAATTCATAGCCCTTGGGTAGGTGGATCAGATGTAAAGGCACATGCAGCTTAATTGATTATATACTGAAAATGCATTGATTCATTAATTAATGATTCTGGGGTACATGTGTATATTTTTGTCCTGGTTGTCTGTCTGCAAAAACTTTTCACATGGCCATACCATTTTAGTGGTTGAAAGTCTTAAAGTTTCATATTTCACAATCCTGTGTAATCATTGTGACAAGACCTTTCTGCCGCATCACCAAATTTAACCCTTTGACTTGAACTTTGTGTATGACCCACTTTTAAGAAAGTTTCAAAACTTGAATCTTGGCCATAACTTTTGAACAGTTGATGCTAGGGCTTTATACTTCACTTGTGTATTTATTGTGACAAGACCTTTCAATGGGTATAAATTAAAGTATTTGATCTTGAACGTCTACATGTAGTTTGACCCACTGTTAAAAGCTTTAACTTTGATCATTAATTTTGAACTGATAGTAGTAGGGCTTTCATATTTCACAGGTTTATTCTTTGTGACAAAACCTTCCTTGGATATCAACAATTTTGACCTTTGACCTTGACTTTGACTTGTACTCGGATAACTTCAACCATAAGATGGCATACTGGGGTATCAGTATTTCACCAACACATCTTTTCTTTCTGAGTTCACCCACACATCAATGCTATTTAAGAATTTTTAGGTAGAGAATTTCAAGGTAGATATTTGAGGGTATAATGAAAAAAATAGTTTAAAGGAACAAAATTATGAATACTTAATTTTTTTTTTGTTATTTAGCATTTATATTTAAGTTCTACAGGGAATTAACCAAGATTAATATGTTGATATTAATAATGTTCAGGAAAACAATTATGTGTTTTCCCGTATTCCATGCATTTAATATTTTCTTTTTCTTTACAGATAAAAGAGAACTGGAGAAGAATTAATTGATATTAACATACTCGAAATTAAATTCGTTTTAATCTGAATGTCATTTGTTTTGATTCCTTAAAGAGCAATTAGAACCAGAAAGCCTTTGAGGGAAATTATCAAATGCATGAATTGAATAATTATTCAAATTGCACATAATTGTGTTTCATTGATGTTTAACATTGTTTGACACATGTATAGTACTTATCATTTGAGCAGTGCAAATAACAAACACAAATAACAACCACATTAAATACATGTTATGAGAATCATCTTACACACACGTTGCATGTACGTTATTCATATATGTGAAACGTAAAAATAACGTACGTGTGAAACGTGTATGTGTCAGTATGGTAGTCAATACGTACGTTGAACATACATGATGGCATGGTAGTCAAACGTGTGAAAACGTACGTTTAACATGCGTGGTGCTTTTTCACGTTCACTTCACGTGCGTGTCACATACGTTTAATAAACGTATGTATAGAGCACAATTAGCTGTGTAAAATATCATAAAAGAAACATGCTCATTGTTTTACTTTTTCAATTGGGTCAGTTATTTAAATTCAACCTAGGAAAGTATAAAGGTATAATTATCATTAAAAAAAATTCTTTCGTCTTAAAAAAAGAAATTTGGTAATAATGTACTTCCTTACATGTACTATGACTTACGGTTATTGTTAATAAAGACAGGATTTGAATAATTTTTGTTTATATTACAAGCAATGAATTCTTTTATTAGTTTGGTTATTAATGTATATTAAAAGATTTTAAAATTTTTATCATGGGAAAAATGATCAAAATTAAAAAAAAAAAACACATCAATAAAGAATGAAAATACGCTTTTTAAAAGTTAAATGTAAATCAACTTAATGTTAATGAAGGTTCTACCTGCTCAAAAACAATACAAAATGGCCAACTCGTCAATTGTCGTGGAAACCTCGGAGAAACTTGTTGGTATGAATGCACCAGTCCTTTTGAAATTAATCCCTCTTTTCCAAATATTACCTGCAACACAAGTGTGGAATGGAGTTATGATACTTCAGATTTATGCAGTAAGTTTGCTTTCCTTATAATACTTTATTAAGAAAAATTCAAAAAGGAAATTGGAAACTTTTTTTGTAACTTTTCGTAGGAATTATATTTATTTTTCAGTACAGTTGTGTTCATCTACAATCCTAAATGGAACATTAGATTCAGATTGCCAAAGACTAATAGGAAGTAACTGTTCATTCACGTGCGACACGGGTTACGAATCTTCCATCACCTCTTCAAACATTATTTGTACCTCAAACGGAACCTGGAATAAAATGACCGATGATTTATGCAAACGTAAGAAAAAGTGTTTATAACCTTAAAATGTATGCATTATGTGCTCTTTAGCAATTATATTTCGTGAGCTAAATTTGGCAGAAATCGTCGATACAATGTATGTGATCAGATTACATGGACTTATAAATAAGCAATGTATAGTACTTAAGATATCATTAGAAAACATGATCATTGTTTCACTTTTTTCAATCTGGTCAGTTATTTAAGTTCAAGCTAGAAAAGTGTGAAGGTAAATTAAAATAAAATTATTCTTTTGTCTTACAAAAAGAAATTGGGAAATAATTTACTTGCTTACTATGACATATGGTTATTGTTAATAAAGACAGGATTTGAATACTTTTTGTTTATATTACAAGCAATCAATTCTTTCATTAGTTTGGTTATTAATGTTTATTAAAAGATTTTGAAATTTTTATCATGGGAAAAAATGATTAAAATAAAAAAAACACATATCAATAAAGAATGAAAATACGCTTTTTAAAAGCTAAATGTGAATCAACTTAATGTTCATGAAGGTTCTACCTGCTCAAAAACAATACAAAATGGCCAACTCATTAATTGTCGTGGAAACCTCGGTGAAACTTGTTGGTATGAATGCACCAGTCCTTTTGAAATTAATCCCTCTTTTCCAAATATTACCTGCAACACAAGTGTGGAATGGAGTCATGATACTACTGATTTATGCGGTAAGTTTGTTTTCCTTTAAATACTTTGTTGAGAAAAATTCAAAACAGAAATTGGAAACTTTTTGGAAACTTTTCATAGGAAGAATATTTATTTTTCAGTACAACTGTGTGTATCAACAATCCCTAATGGAACACTAGGGTCAGATTGCCAAAGAGTAATAGGAAGTAACTGTTCATTCATGTGCGACACGGGTTACGAATCTTCCATCACTTCTTCACACATTATTTGTACCTCAAACGGTACCTGGAACAAAATGACGGATGCTTTATGCAAACGTAAGAAAAAGTGTTTATAACCTTAAACATATATACAATATGTGCTCTTTAGCAATATTTCGTGAGCTAAATTTGGCAGAAAAGCGTCGGTACAATGCATTTGAACAGATTACATGTGCGTATTAAGAAGCAATGTATATTTAAAATATCTTTAGAAAACATGTTCATTTTCTAGATAACAAAAAAATAGTTCCATAAAAATTTTAAAACCAGATGGACAATTTTCCTACACTGTTTTACTTTTTTCAATTGGGTCAGTTATTTAAGTTCAAGCTAGCAAAATAAATTCTTTTCCAAAAAAAAAAAAAAGAAATTGGTTTATTAATCCCAGATCCAATGAATAGAAACAAATATTATCTTTAATCACATTTATTGGAAAATAATGATTACATTTTGTGGCAAGTATATTTATACATAGATGTAAAATACTCGGCGGAATCCAGGGAATCACTACCTGTCTCTGACCTGCCGCGATAGCGCACCCATAGGTGACTCTTGTTACCAACAAGAGTGAATGCCACATGGAATGAATGAATTCAAGTTCTGACTCAGACTCTAACTCTATACCTGTCTCCCCTGGAATACAACATCATGGGGATAACACTCCCAGGGGTAGACCCCAAAAACCTGCCCTTAGAACCACAAAGATCAAGCTGGTTCTTCAGGTTACCTAACAATATGGGGAGAACACCCCCTGAGGTAACCTCCAAATATTCCCCAGTACTGAGTATAGATTACCCAGAGTTTTGAGCCAGACATGGTAGAAATCCTCATTCGTGGTAATCTCCGAACTCAGTCGCCCCCAACCCAGATTGTGACTTAAGGAACGTTACCATAATCCCAAACCTAGAAAATTTCAATACATATTTTTTTTAATCTTTGTTGTTTGCGATACCTTTCAAAAGTAACTGTACAGTAACATTGTAAATTCATGTAACACATATTCATCAATGATCACCAATTGCAATGTCGCTGACTTACTGATTATGTATCACACCTTAGAAATGTCCAATAAAATACAGTATAGAATCATTTTTTTCAACAGAAAATGTCCAATGAAAACCAAACGGTCCCACCATATACCGGTACATAATGACCACATCCTTCCTTTGATTATGATTCCAACCGCTTGGGTGTTCCACATACACATCACTTCCCATTTAGGAAAAGGCTTCTGTCACTGAAATTACAGAAGAAAGCAGCAAAAATAAGTACACAACTTTTACGGAAGGGTGGGTGGGTGAAATTTTGCAACTTGTCTGCCCTTCTAGCTTTTTCGGTAGATTATGACAATCAGCGTCATCTCGATGACGTTTAACCACTACCATTAGAACGCACGCGTTATCGCCCTAGTACTGATATTGAAAGCATTTATCACAATATGGTGATAAATGCGATAATTTACATGCTTAAATATGTAAAGGTAGAACCTATGTCGAAAAAGTCTTTGTCACAAGATTTCAAACTTTCAAAATAATAAAATAGCACTTGCTTATCAATCAGTTGAAAACACATAACATGTTTTCTAATGTAGTGCAGCCTTGAAACTTGGATTGTTAATTACATATTACGAGTTCACATTTTCAGTGATTTTTAGGGGTACTTGTCATAAAGAGAATACGAAAAAAAAAACTTTTTTAAACATTGTTGATTATAGATTTTCTTGACTGAGCAGTATTAAGCAATATTTCTCAATAATAAATTCTTTTTTCATTCAATTGACATAAAAGATAAGTCCACTTTGAATAAAATGTAGGCAAATGAAGTCTATTTTTATTAATCAATTTCCACCCTAAATATGTAAATATATTTTTCAGAAGTTTTTGTCAGAAAATTTTCAATCTTTAATATGATGAATAACATATCCAAATGGTTATAAAAAGTGATAAAAATATTGACCTTTCAAGGCAAACTAACGAGAGATAGGTTATTTACCAAATCTACTTTTCTTGACCTTTTTGCACTTACACAGGATTTAATTATTAAATAAGTGTGTTGGGTAACTTTCAGATTTACGATGCGAATAATTATGAAAAAAATTGTATTTTTCTATTTAAAAGATCATATAGATTATAAAAAATTGTAAACAAACACCAATAATTCAAAATATTACTTTGTAAAAGTTAAATGTAAATCAACTCAATGTTAATGAAGGTTCTACCTGCTCAAAAACAATACAAAATGGCCAACTCGTCAATTGTCGTGGAAACCTTGGAGAAACTTGTTGGTATGAATGCACCAGTCCTTTTGAAATTAATCCCTCTTTTCCAAATATTACCTGCAACACAAGTGTGGAATGGAGTCATGATACTACTGATTTATGCGGTAATTTAGTTTTCCTTAAAATACTTTATTGAGAAAAAATTCAAAACAGAAATTGGAAACTTTTAGGAATCTTTTCATAGGAAGAATATTTATTTTTCAGTACAACAGTGTGTATCAACAATCCCTAATGGAACACTAGGGTCAGAATGCCAAAGAGTAATAGGAAGTAACTGTTCATTCACGTGCGACACGGGTTACGAATCTTCCGTCACTTCTTCACACATTATTTGTACCACAAACGGCACCTGGAGCAAAACGACCGATGCTTTATGCAAACGTAAGGAAATTCCATGTTTATTATAGTTTATAATTTCTTTAAATCCATATATTTTCGCCAAAGAAGTACTGTTATCAAGTCGTTAAAGTTTTTATGTAACGTTTATTGATGGTAAAAGAAATTAATTAATCATCCGTTACTTCTCCTTACATTCATTGTATCTCGGATGCCATTTTGAGCAGATGATCGATAAATTATGAAAGTGTATGTACATGTAAAAATGTTGTCTATATATTTCTTCTAATGTACAATTTACAACACTCATAAATTTTAATTTGCAATAATTTTTTTACTCTTCTATGACTTAATTTATGATAAATATGCCCTAATTATAAATTTGATTTAGCAGTCCATGGCCAAATTTTAGATAATGCTATCAATTTTCTTGCAATAAATTTTATTGTTGAAAATATGAAAAGGAGTTTGATATGCATGTTGTTACGTATATGGGGCAAATGAAAATTCTCCTGCATTTTTTTTAGAATTTGCCAAAAGTAATAACCAAACTTGACAATGAATCAATTATTGTAGGTGATTTTATTATTGAAGGGTATACTTGGCCCAAACAAAGATTATTTTGATTATTTAAATATAAATGACCCAAAAGCCAAAGCAAAATTACTCGATCGAATAGATTTTCCAAATTTAATAGATATTTATAAAAAGTTTCACTTAGAAGTTAAAATAACCAAACCCTCCTACACAACTGCTTGCGGTTAGACTTTGCTCTTGTATTCAACTCATTTTTGAATGATACACAAAACTCATATTCTTGAGAGTTATATATCAAATCATTGATAAATTTTACTGACCTTTAAGTTCAGTGATTTCCTACATGGAAAGATAATGCTTTCTGAAAATACCTATAATACCTATAATATACTAAAATCAAAATAAAGTTTTCAATCATATTAAATACATTGCCAGTTTATAAATCTAGTATAAATGAAATATCAAAGTCCGAAATACAATTTACTATAAATGACCAATTATTTTAACACCATTTCAAATGAAGATAAGAGCTAAAAAAAAATTCATACGCAGTTTATATAAAAAAAACTAAGAGAGGTGAAAAAAGAAAAAGACTTCAGTAATGAAATGAAAGAACTCGGAAAAAATGAAAATAAAGTTACAGCGAATGCTGAAGAGAAACAAGAAGCCCAGGGGCCACATCGCTCACCTGAGCAATTGGCTAGGAAAAAGCCCACATCAGATCAGAACTGAAAGTTTACTGAGGGGGGAGGGATTTTAACCCCCAGGGGGTCATGATTTGAACAAAGCTTGAATCCACACTACTTAAGGATGATTCGAATTCCCTATAAATATCACTAAGCATGGTTTTAAAGTACAAGAAAAGGAGATTTTAAAAAGTTTCCATTGATATTCCTATGTTAAACTTTTATCGGCCATTTGGCCACACCCTACCGCCGGGGTTCATGATTTGAACAAACTTTAATCTACACTACCTGGGGATGATTCCACATGAGTTTCATCTTTCCTGTCTCAATGGTTCTTGAGAACAAGATTTTTCCTTTATATTCCTATGTAAAACTTTAATCGGCCATTTTGGACCCACCCTACCCCTGGGAGTCATGATTTGAACAAACTTTAATCTACACTACCTGGGGATGATTCCACAGGAGTTTCATCTTTCCTGTCTCAATGGTTCTTGAGAACATGATTTTTCCTATATATTCCTATGTAAAACTTTGAGTTTCATCTTTCCTGTCTCAATGGTTCTTGAGAACAAGATTTTTCCTTTATATACCTATGTAAAACTTTAATCGGCCATTTTGGCCCTACCCTACCCCTGGGGGTCATGATTTGAACAAACTTGAATCTACACTACCTGAGGATGATTCCATATGATCTTCATCTTTCCTGGCCCAGTGGTTTTTTAGAAGAAGATGTTTAAAGATTTTTCCTATATATTCCTTATGTAAAACTTTGATCGGCCATTTTGGCCCCAACCTACCCCTGGGGGTCATGATTTGAACAAACTTGAATCTACACTACCTAAGGATGATTCCACTTGAGTCTCATCTTTTCTGGCCCAGTGGTTCTTGAGAAGATTTTTTAAAAATGCCAATTTTTTTTCTTATTCATTATTATCTTCCCTTGGAAAAGGGCTTGGCCCTTCATTTGAAAAATCTTGAATCCCCTTTACCCAAGGATACTTTGTAGCAAGTTTGGTCAAATTTTGATCAGAAAATCTCACTTGAGCCTTTGGCTCAGGTGAGCTAAAAAGCATTAGAATCAAGTGTTTGGGTAATATGAGAAGTTCAAGCGCAAAATGGATAAGTGATGGTAAAAATCCAACATGGTCTTTTTAAACTTGAAAGTACACATTTTACAAATAAAATAATACCCAAATATTATCAAAGTACAGTTTTAAAAAGGGAAACAAAAAAAACAATCTATATTCCAGATGAAGATGAAAAATTAACAAAATATTATATACACCTCAAGTAGCTGAGGATGTTAAAGTGGATATTTATGAATTGAATGTCCCTAAATTAAGAAATTATCCTTATGGAATAACAGCAATTTCAAAATTAAAACCAAACAATATTCTACAGGTCCTGGTATTCAAAAGGAATAAAATGTATTTATACTCTTTTAGATATTAGAGAATAGTACATATGTAACATCTTATCATTAGACAACAAAACTATGATATTTAAATTATGCATTTAATAAACGGGCATGCGATAAACAATACTTACAGAAAAGAGAAGTATAACTTTTGTAGAAATGAATTAAGGTAGGACAAAACACCCGTGGATTCTATTTTAACCCATTTCTTAAAAAGTACTGGAGGAAAAAAGAGTAATACTGACAACAATGAATGATCCATGAAAGAAAAATAATAAATTTTGGCAAATTTGCGTTATATTTTGTGAAAACATCAGAGAATCCTATATTTTGGTCATTTGGGAGCTTACACTTTGGAATGTGTTTACGCTATCTAAGTGCAATAACAAGCATGTAACAGTGTGTTATAAAATGCAGTGCAACTTTTGTTCCATTAATAGTAGAGGGCTGATATTTGGACACATATATAAGGAGTCTCGAGCTCTATTCTTTATGTACTACAAAGGTCAAGGTCATATCAAGGGGTCAAAGGTCAAATATTGTGACGTCATCTACTGAATCTTTAAGTTTTTTGCCATTGATTTTGTTTTAAATCACCAGAATATCTGAAACCACCGGTTCAATTTTCTTTATTTTTACACATTTTATTCTAGGACCCATTTGAATCATTCTGTTATTTTTTGTAAAAATTGAATTATACATTTTCTCTTAAGAAAACTTATGCTGTCGTATATTTACATGTGAATTTTCAGTTTCTGACACAATGTATGTTCTTTTTTACTTAATATTTTACCCAAATTTTCCAGTATCAATGTGACTTACTGATTTAAAGTAACTAAAAGGTTATCTTTATTAAAAGTATTACACAAATTTGCAATAGATCAGTAAAAATTCTGATATAAGGCTCATTCTCAAGTCGAATGTCTGATTTCACAAACTCCTTTCAGGGGTCTGAAAGGCCATATTTCAGACTATGTGGGCAAAAAATGTGCGGTTGAATTTCTTTCATATCATATAAAGAGAGAGATTCTGTATCCAAGAACAAAATATCAAGTTTCAGAAAAATTGAATTTGAGGAAAAATTTGACCTATCTATTTGGTCCTACCTTAATTCATAAACCAGAACTTCCTTACAATATCATAGTCTTTGAGTTAACCAATAGATGGATCATTATGTTCCCCAAACGGAGGGGAACATATTGTTAAGGTCTTCCGTTTCAAACGGAAGACCTTCTACTGATTCTGATGATTAAGTTTATTCTTATTATTCTTTTTTTTTTCCTTTTCCTAGACGCCAACTTTGAGGCCTCATATTTCACTCATTTCTCAATGGATTTTGCTCTAATTTTCAGAGTTGATAGACGTTACTAAATTCTATCAGAATGCTATCTTAAATTTCAAAAAGTCACTTGCGGTTTTGAGTTATTTCCCTTTAAACGAAAATTTATAGGCTTTCGTTTCCAGACAAAGGCACAGAGATTGCTAAAGCTGGAGCAAAAATTCTACTGATTTTAGATAATAGAAGGAATGAAGTTGTGCATAGTGGTTTTTGTTTTTCGATTTCTCTATCCAAAATGGTGCTATATAGGTGTAAAAAATTAGAAAGCCTAAAAGAGCGAAAATTTACACATATTTTGCTTTTTATCTTCTAAACTAAAAATATTTTGTTAAAACATAAAGAACAAAATTTGTGCAGAATTACAAGATCTTTTAAATGATGTCTAGAAAAAAAGGGCTGACCCCTAACTTAAGGGATCTAGAGGGGCCAACAGTTTTTTCCAGATATGTCAAAAAGTATTGAGAATTTGTAATACATCCAATAAGCAATATTGTTCAAAATGTCAAGCTTATTCTAATGAAGTCGTCAAAATGCGTCCGGCGACGTCACTTCCGGTCAAATCGGAAGTAGTCAGAAAATGCATATTTTTGCTATTCTTGACAAGTTTTTGAGTAACATATATATCACAGAAAGCACAAAACACTTAATTTTCCGTCCATCGACATCACTTCCGGTCAAACTGGAAGTAGCAAAAAATAGCTATTTTTTTTAAGGTTTTGATGCAAAATTGAAATTATAAAGTGACTGGAGACGACTAAGCTCATTGCTTTCTTTTAGCTGACGTCACTTCCGGTCAAAACACGACGGAAGACCTTCTCGTTGCTTTGCAACGAGCTTTGCTCTAGTTTTTACTCTGTTTCATATTATTATTATTCATAAAGGTCTTCCGTTTCCAACGGAAGACCTTCAACTGATTCTGTTGTTAAAGATTATTATTCTTTTTTTTCTTCTACTTCCTAGACGCCAACTTTGAAGCCTCAATTCTCAATTGATTTCGCTTAAATTTTCAAAGATACTAGAAGTTACTTAATTCTATCAAAATGCTGTCAAAAACTTCAAAAAGTCA